AACCTCGCTGGCACCTGACCAAAATGACCAATGAGGAGACAAGATACTTTCAAAAGCTGGGAGGAGGGAGAGAAACAAAGGGTCTGTGTCTGTCTGTATGCTGGTCTTTGCCAGGGACAGAACAGGAATGGAGTCTTAGAACTTTTAGTAAGTAATCTAGCTAGGTATGTGTTAGATTATGATTTCTTTAAATGGCTGAGAAAAGAATTGTGCTGAATAGAATAACTATTTCTGTCTGTGCATCTTTTTTGTAACTTAAGGTTTTGCCTAGAGGGGTTCTCTATGTTTTTGAATCTAATTACCCTGTAAGATATCTACCATCCTGATTTTACAGGGGGGATTTCTTTATTTCTATTTACTTCTATTTTTTTATTAAAAGTCTTCTTGTAAAAACTGAATGCTTTTTCATTGTTCTCAGATCCAAGGGTTTGGGTCTGTAGTCACCTAGGCAAATTGGTGAGGCTTTTTACCAAACCTTGTCCAGGAAGTGGGGTGCAAGGTTTTGGGAAGTATTTTGGGGGGAAAGACGCGTCCAAACAGCTCTTCCCCAGTAACCAGTATTAGTTTGGTGGTGGTAGCGGCCATTCCAAGGATAACGGGTGTAATATTTTGTACCTTGGGGAAGTTTTGACCTAAGCTGGTAAAGATAAGCTTAGGAGGTTTTTCATGCAGGTCCCCACATCTGTACCCTAGAGTTCAGAGTGGGGGAGGAACCTTGACAAAGCCCAATTGTGTTGGTGCCCAAACCTGATGGCATCACTAGGTTTTGTAATGACTTTCGCCAGCTGAATGAGATATCCAAATTCGATGCATACCCCATACCCCGTATCGATGAGTTAGTTGACCGCCTGGGCAATGCCTGATTTTTGACCACCCTTAATTTAACAAAGGGATACTGGCAGATTTTCTCTTCCTGAGAGAGAAGAATTTACACCCTTGTGTGATTAATGCTAATGAGAGTTCTGTCTATAAAGCATCACACATTAAGCCACAGCTAATACCGCATGGTGCTACAACAGCAGCTTCCCTCATGAAATCCAACAGAGGGAAGGAAAAAGAGAAACAAATAATAGTGAGTGCCGACCAGCCAGAGAGATTGTTATACATTTTCAGAGGCCAGTCACCTGTTCTTTGTTCCATAGCATAATAAACTGCCAAACCTCATAAACTTTTCAGAAAGACTTTCTGCTCCCACAGTCGCATTTTTACATTTAATTTGTGATATGAATTTGGACTTTGATTCTTCCATAGTTCATTCCACAGACATCTCTGCCTCCCAGAACACGTCAGAAATGTGATTGTTCTTGTGACAAGGTCTGAAGTGCCGCCCATATGAAGACCATCATACTGTCTGGCTACTACTGTCAGTAAATCCAGCTTCCAGCCATATCCCTGGAAATAATTTCCACAATGGGCTTCATGATGATCACGCTGGGCTTGATTGAAATAACCGTCCCCCTCTGCTAACCATTACACAAAACTGCCGTCATCACACTCTTCATCTGTGAGTTTTACAGGAGACCCCTCACTTCAGGACTTTTGATCCAGAAAATCGGCTTCCTGTGGGTTTTTTTAATCAAGTCTGCTTACTTTAACAAAACCAAATGTTTGCTCCTGCTAACTCCTCACAGAGTCAATACAAGCATCAACGAATGACCTGATTTCTATTGTGCCTCCTATTCAGTAGCTCTGTCTGCTAAATTCTGATGACAAAATCTTTATTCCTAGTGATAGTGTAAGAGGCAGTCAGAATACATTCCTTGTATTCCATGTTGAGTATGCTGTATTGACAGTTGGAAAATTCACCCTTTGACTTTTAAACAGATCACACTTGATATCAAGGCACTAGAAGATGATATGTAAGAAACTCTGTGATAAATAAAATCACATCCTAACTGTCCAGTCCTGAGGGTATTTAAGCCCCTTGCCTCTTGCTGACTGCAATGAGTATTGAGGGCACCCAGCACCTCTCTGAAGCAGGCCCTAATGTGTTTCTTGGATCATTCCTTAACCAGTGCTCAGTTTGGAGGGCATATGGTTGGGTATACCATGTCTTCACTTGTTCCTTCTGTTGGCTCAAAATTGTTGAGAAAGTGTCAGAGCAAACATTGGAAGTAGGGCCTAGAAGATAGATAAAATGTTCCCTTTTTTTCCCTCCTCATCGAAAAGTCCTGTAAAGATTAATCGGGATGAATCCAATAGGTATCTATAGAAATTACTCTAAAAACCTGTTGAATTTAACAAAAAGAAAAGGAGTACTAGTGGCACCTTAGAGACTAACCAATTTATTTGAGCATAAGCTTTCGTGACCTACAGCTCACTTGATGATCGATGAAGTGAGCTGTAGTTCACGAAAGCTTATGCTCAAATAAATTGGTTAGTCTCTAAGGTGCCACTAGTACTCCTTTTCTTTTCGTGAATACAGACTAACACGGCTGCTACTCTGAAACCTGTTGAATTTAACAGAGGGTGATCTCCTCTTGATAGAATTTTTAACATTCACCTATAGACTTTAATGGAGAACTATATCCCTGCTAGAGAAATGTGTAGGACTCTCCCATAAGGCTCAGAAATGATTAACTCATTGAAATTTAGACTTAAAAGCAGCTGTGACTTTGCAATTAAAAGAATTATTTTCAGAAGCAGCATAATTATTGGTCCATATACATATAAACCCTATTTCCCACTGTGGGAGGGGGGAGAGGAATTCCCCACTTTAGACCTCAATGCACCTCCACCATCTCATTCCTCCCCTTCTACCAAAATATTAATAAAATAAGCAAAAAGACAGTGTAAAACAAAGGGAATGGAACCTAATTAAGGTCACCAAAGGGATTTTGGCATTTCTGGGTATTATAACAGATGACTGTATAATGTACTACAATTAATATGGAGGAACTCTCACAGGCATTGAGATTTTATTTCTCCGTCTGTTTATCAGTGAACATTAGCACAAGTTTCCTTTTTCCTGTATAAGATACATACTTAACCTGAAAATATAACCCAGGTTACTATTAAAATAGTATCATATTAAAGAGTTAGACGGCATCGACAGATACATGCCTGATGTATTTAGCAGCAACACTTTAAGTTAGTTTCCCAGACCTGAAGTAGAGCTCTGTGTAGCTCAGAAGCTCGTCTCTCTCACCAACAGAAGTTGGTCCAATAAAAGATATTACCTCACCCACCTTATCTCTCTGATCCACATGTATAAAATTGTAAGCTTAAAAAGACCTTAAATTCCTAACAGGGAGTATGCAGGCATTCAGTTATTTTACATACTGACATACATTGTCTACATTTTATTCTGGACGATACAGAATGCCACTCTGAGCAAAGTACAATTAGAAAGGCCTGAAAAATAAGTTCTTATGCTACTAAGAGATGTCAGGATTACCTGATCAAACAGACATTCTCCTAAATGGATAGTGGACTTATTTTAACCTTTCTTGTTTATTTAATGTTTTTCTCAGTTCTTAAAGTACCTCGATATCAGAGCTCCCTCAGCTCTGCAGTGGTGTCTGTGGTTTACAGAAGAAGCCATGGGTAATTTTAATTATATTGGTTATAAGCAGAATTGCTTGATGTTTTCAGTGGCAGAGGGAAGTTTGTGTTGTATTGGTCAACTGCCTGCAGTTGCACTTTGTTGTTGCTTGATATGTGATTGAGAATTGAAGGCATGAGAACAATTGTCTCTCAAGGACAGCATCAAAATACGATGTGTTCTAATTTGGCATTACAAACCATGTAACCAGATATTTTAACAGAGATGCACATTTGGTTCCCTTCCTTTTAGTCTGTAAGGAGTTTTGCCAACTGTCTTATTGTCATTTAACTACGTGTCAGAGGAAATTCTTATTGAAAAGTAGTTCTGCTGGTCTTCTGTGTCTCATGGTCTCTCCTGCTGTTGCCTGTTCCAAGCATGAATGCATTTTATTGCTATCATGGTTCCTGTTTTCCTTAAGCAGACATGACATGGGTGGAATGGACTGGGAAGAGTTAGGAAGTGTTGATGTACTGTATATAACTCACCGAGTTCCAGTAATGAAGGAAGCACCTTGTATATCAGTTATTTCCCCTATGGTTTCTTGAAACCCTATCTTACAAATAATTGCTCCTCCATGCCAGGCTTTTGAGATGGTCAGTTTGGAGCATTAATTGTTCAACCACAATGTGGCGCCTGCTGAATTTAGAAACTGTATCCTATAGTCCCTTCACCAACTCTGCAATATCAATCCATCCCAAACATTAAGAATATCCTCTTGACATCTACACATTAGAAATGAGGCTCACACTCTCTCCATCCTCAATGTCATCAGTTCCCTTTTTCCCTAAGCAATTCCTTGTTTGCTTTTCTGATTTTTCAGAGTCTTTATCGCTTGGTAGGGCACAAAACTATTCTAATTCTGCTTCCCCCCACACAAACCATCACAATTTTAAACCACAATTTCCTCAAATTATTGTAATATCAAGAATGAACAAATGACCCAGACATATACAAATAAGTAAGAGCTTACTGGGACAGGCAAAGCAGCTGATTTAAGTGGGTATTCTCTAACAAGAACCACACAACACTCCCTTCCTGGAAACAATGGACTCCGAAAATATGTATTTAGTTCTGTAGCTATATAAAAATACAATGTTTATTTAGAACATCTTCATTCCTAAAAGAAGTACTTGGGGGTGTCTTTTGTGACACAGCTCAATCCATCCTCTCCAGAGGACTTTAAAGCAGTTATCAGGTGGAAACCAAATTCCTGGTGTGAGAACAGGGACGTTTCGCTCAGTGCTTTTAGTGAAAGATCATATATAGGAGGTATCTTGATGCTTCTTTTTCCCACCACTTTTACTTTGGAGACTGAAGTAACAGAGGGAAAAAAGAAAAGAGATATATTTCTTAGCAGTAGCACCGTCCAATTTATTTTCAGTACAAATGTACAATTCCCTTCCCCTTGCTCAAAAAATCAAATCAATGTGATATTGAAGGAAAGACAGAGTACCTGGAAAGCTGTTCCACATCCTCCACTGTCTCTGGTAAGGAAATTCCCTTTGTCTCAGGTAAAAACAGCACTAAGATCCCACAGATAACTGCAAGTATACCTATGACAGGCATTGAAGAAAAAAAAAAAACAAGAACCAAAACTGGTTTGTTATTTTTCTCATTCTCAGGACAGTTTTGTGGTACAAAATAAGAAAAGGGTAGAAAGACCTGAAGTTGCTCCCAAAACACTAAGTAAAAGCTGAAGGCCCGTTTCTCCCCTGCCTTGCTTCTCATTTGGTCATTTACATTTTTGGAAAGTGAGTGTGAAATGTTACCATGCTGATTGTAAAGTTTTTGGGTGCAGGGACTGTTTTTTTGTCCTGTGTTTGTACAACACCTAGCACAGTGGGGTCCTGGTCAATGACTGGGGCTCCTAGGCCTGATGAAAATACAGATAATAATTTTATACCCAGTTACACAGTGTTGTTGAGGATCAGGTCTTCAGAGTGAAGCAGAAATTCTGAATACAAAGGTGTAAACTAGAACATCTGGATACTGCTATGGCTGGAATAATATTAATTTGAAAAATAAATTTCTTTTCTTCTCTCTTTTTTACTTTGTATTTCAAATCCTCTTTCTCCACCTCTCTTTCTTTTTCTATGTTCTGTCCCTCCTGCTCTTTCCTCATCATGTTTCTCTTCAGAAAAACATGATTTAGCCTTCAGACTCAGGATTTCCTAACAAAAGGAAATACTTTGCTCACACAATTAGCCTGTGGAACTCATTGTCACAAGACACCACTGAGACCAAGAGCTCATCGGGGAAAAAAAAGATTAGATATTTATATGAATAACAAGAATATCTAGAGTTAGAACAAATTAAACATGATTTTTTGGAAGGGTTATAAATCCTCATGCACTAGGGAGTAAATCAACCTGGAAGTCAGCAGGAAAATTCCATGTGACCAGATTATCCAGCTGCAGGGTTTCTTGCACCTAACTTTGAAGCATCTGGTACTGACCCCTTTTGGTAACAGGATACTGGACTACATGGATCACTGTTCTGAACCAGTATGGCAATTCCTATGTTCCCGCAAAGCAGGACCTTAAGTGGGAGATAACATGGAAAACACCTTTTTGGCCAGATCTGCTCTGTTGACTTTGATAGAGCTATACTAACTTCCAACAGCAGAGAATGTGGCCCTTTGTTTATTTGGTCTGATGAGAGGTAGTCGCATATGAAAACTATCCCGAAAATGTTAGAAACCCATTGCTGCAAGTGCTCTGTTTTGATCAGTAAACACATTTTTAATGGCTTTTGAGGGGTCTTCCTTAGAGGGGCCTTAGACCTTCGGAAGGATACAAATGCAGCGGGACTCAGTTGGAATGCCTCCTGGAGCTCCATGTGTGTGGGTGCGCAAGCTGATGTAACCACCATCACTGAAAGGATGCAACACAGCTCCCCTTTGCACTTAGGTCATCTGTGCCGGCCAAAGAGGATGGAGATGATGTATTTGGGAAAGATAGGTCATGCAATAAAACTCTTCCCAAGAAAAGAAGCTGTGTTAGTACACAGATTAAAAACAAGTTGTAATAAAGGGGTCATCAAGGGATTAACTGGATTATTCACAGTATTGTGGATGGGAGCCATGCTTCCACCTTTCCCTTATTTCCTCTTTATTTAGTGGGTGTTTTCCCCACTGTGTTTGTTATGTTGCTGAATAAAGCAGCACTTTCCCAGCCTGCAGTACTGTAAGTAAAGTATGTCTCTTATGCACTGAACAGTCTCTTTGAAAAAGAAATACTCTATCCAAGGTTGCATTTTAAATGATTTCTTACTAAAGATGATTAGAGGTAGCTCCATCCAGATGGCTGCTAATCGGAAGAGAAGAAATGGGGCTATGATACCCCCTATGTCACACAAACTCGAACACAGGGAAACACCAAAGTTTCTGCAAAAGAAAGATATTCATTTTAGAGAGGTTAAGACAATGTAACCTAGGAGATGCATGTGTTAGGCCCAAAATTATCTCATAATCAGGGCATACAACACACACTTACATAAGCAAACCAGCGCAACGAGTCTAAACAGTGAACTCATGAGAAAACAGAGGGTTACTGAAAAATAATATATTGAACATAGCAGAAACTAACAGGAAATTTTAAAAGAATTCCAGCCACTTTAAGGGCCAGATTCTGCCACTGGCACATCAGATTGCGAATTACCCAGTGATCTTCCCTAATGGGATTTCAGAAGCCGTACCTCTGTGGAACACTAATCCTAAATCATGGCACACAACGCCTTTCTGCATTCAGACCTTTAAACTAACCAATCTCCAAAATAAAATACTAGTGGCACGATCCTTTTGCTTTAGCTACAGCATGGACTTTAGTGTGGGTAGCTGCCCATCTAAGTACCCAGGGTCCCTGTGGGCTTCTGCAGCCCCTGCTGAAGCTTAAGCTGCCACTGCTTCACTGCTATTGCTTCTTCTTCTGCTAACTATGTTAAAGCTAGCTCAGGCGTATCTACACATGCTACAGTCACATCTCCATTTGCAATGTAGACATACTCTTGGTTGATGGGGATTCTATGATCAGCTTTGTCACCGTCCTCCTGGATAACCTGGGGCAACTTCATTTAAGTTCTCGGTGCCTGTTTTCCCATCCTTAAAATGCTCAGACCCAAGCTAAGTTAAATTGAATGTGGAAAGAGTTTGGGAAACACTGTATCAAATGCTTTACTAAAATCCAGATATATTGCATCTGTGTTTCCACAGCCATTCACTTTCTTATTTTATCTTTAAAAGTTATCCAGACTGTTGCAATATACCAAAGATCTTCCAATCTAATTTCAACATGACGCAAGTGAGAGTCAGAAACTGACCAAAAAAAACCCAAAAAACTGAAGGAGGAATGGAAGACTAAGGGTAACAATTACCAGGTTATCTAGTTACCCAGTAAATCAAGTGTCTGGACAGTAGGAATGTTTTATATATAATTGGTTTGATGCACAGATAATAGGTTAGTTGAACAGGTCTATTTTCTTATGGAGTAAATTTTCTACTACATTTTATCTTTAGGAGCACTCAAAGTTTATTTGATTATGGTGGTGGGGCGAGCGCCCATCCCAGCCAGGAGGGGTTAACAAGCTCCTCTGGGCGCAATCAAGTCCTACCTGGAGCAAGCTGCCCCTGAAGAAGGGAGGTTCCGTAAGAGAGTAAAGCCAAATCCAGAGTGAGAGTGCCAACCCCTTAAATCCGCAGAATAGTGAATGCTGAGTAGGAAGGCTGCTGAAGATCCTCCATTGCCTAGATCCTCTGGATAAGTAGAGGAACCTCTAAATTATTTTCCTTTCTCTCAGCCCAGAACACTCAGCCTGGGCCCCTTGGACTGCAAAGGGGTTAGAGAAATCCAGCCCTAACTCAAAGAATACTGACCTATTTGCCTTGCAAAGCACACCAGGTGGACCTGGACTGCTTTGGGGTTGCAGGACTGTTATATTTTGCCCTTTTCGTTTGGCCTCCTGTTGGGGGAGTGCTGAATGAATCCCCGCTACTTGTAGCTAGAAAGACACTGACTCTGTAACAACCCCTGTAGCTGAAGGAAGGTACTCGGAACAAAGGGAGGTACCCCTGCCCGGTCTCTCAAAAGGGGGCACTCTAGAGGTAAATCCTAAGACAATTAGCTTGTTTATTTCTTTAATGGGTATCAATTTAGACCGGGTTAGCTGCATTGCTATACAGGTTTTGGCTTGTTGGATAGAAAATACATCCTTCTGAGTAATGTCTTTCCTTTACAGGTCTTTGATTATGTTGCCTCCTCTGTAATTTGTCTCCCATGGGACACTATAACGCTGCATTTTCAAATTAAATAGAACGTCTTAAATTATGGAGACACCAGTCACACCTCCCTATTTAAGGTGGAGTTGAGTTCTGCATTTAAAATGCATAAGAAGAATGTCTTTCAGAGAGGTGCTGCCAAATTAAGCCTGAACACGGGCACAGTTACACTGTAAAGCCATTTACTATTCCAATGTGTCTAATGCTACCGAAGGCAACTTCCTTAAGTTTAATGTGGATTTCAGCTGTGCATGAAACTACAGTTACCTTAATGTTGTAGGATACAATTCACTGTTCACAAGATACACAATTTCAAAAGCCATGGTGATTCCCAGTCTTCCCAGGGTGGCTACTGTGGTTTTCAACCACAGGATATCTGTTAACAAGGTAAATTCAAAAAGAAAGGTTGATGAAATGTGTTTTACCTGTCAGCTGGAAAGCATGGGGCTCATTCCACTCTCCCTTACGTGGGTTTCACACTGGTGTAACTCAGCTGAGTTCAGTGGCATTACCGCTGATTTATATTGGTGTCAGTGAGCAGAAGCAAACATCAGGGCTAGATTCACAAAGGGATTTAGGGACCTAATCCAACATTTAGGCACCACTGACTTTCACAAAGCCACTGCTCAGCCTATGCCTACACCTGGAGGTGCCTAAATTTCTGCTGGGTGGGCAGGCACAAAGCTCCCTAAATCCTGATGCCGCCTCACAGGCAATGGAGCCTTCTTTCATGCCACAGCCCCAACAGGATACTCAAGCAAGGTGTTCCCCTGCCTACCTTGCCTGCAGGGCCCACTCTGGTGGGTGTGCTCAGAACATGAGAACCTACGATTTAGTGAGCAATTTCTGGCTGTTCTGGCTGTAATTGAAAACTGATCAAGGGAAATACTTTTTACACAACGCATAATTAGACTGGGGAAAACATTGCAACAGGACGTCACTGAAGCCAACATTCACAAAGAGACTGAACATTTCCATGGCTAATAAGACTATCCAGAGTTATGATTGTTAATCATCGTTAATGCTAACAAGAGATTTGGAAGGGATATTGGGTTTAAGCCATTTCTAACAGGGAGCTGGATGAGACCTGAAGTGGGGCAGATGAACCCAATCTGCCTACCATGGAGTTTTGACACTTTCCCCTAAGGCATCTGGTGTTGGTCACAGTCAGAGACAAGCTAATGGACGAGATGGACGTTGGGTCTGATCCAGTTGGCCAATTCCTGTTTTCCAGTACCTATATCTTTCTCAAAACTACCCTCCAAGCCTGGTCAGGAAGAGTTACATCAGAGGGACCCTGGATCAGGTTTAAGGAAGAGTAGAACCAAAAGGGCATTGCTGCCAGGGATCCCTGTGTGCTGGTCTCTATGGGTGTTCAAGGTTTGCCTACTCGCGCTTTGTTGTGTCACCCAGGCCAGTTTGAAGACTCAGAAATCAATTCCAACCCACTGACTCGATGAAGACGGGTTGCATAATGCCAGGTGTGGGAAAATGGGTGGTGAATGTCGTTGCCAAGCTCCCATGATCCTACCCAGATTGTGCAATCCTATGCTTCAGGCAGGCTGCTGGTCATTATCCAGGTGTGACGCTTCCCCCCGCAACATTTTTCTAAATCAAATTATAATCAGAGCTGAGTCCGACTGACTCCCAAATAGATCTGGGCAAAAATGTCTCTTGGCCCCATAGAAAAGTCCTCCAGAATTTAATAAAAAATGACAATTTTTTTCTATAATTTTTTTCACCATCCTATAGATTTCATAATAGAAAATTAAATGCCTGCTATGGAATTCTATAGGATGGCTCAAAAAAACTCTAGAAGGGATAGCATTGTCTATGAAATTTGATAAGATTTTAGAGTAATTTCTAGAGAACCCTATCAAATGTTCAGAGGTCTCTATAGATTTCATCCCTATTTAATGGTATAGGATCTTTTCCATTAAAGACTTCAGTATTACTAGTTCATGAAAAAGAGAAATGCATCTATTTTCTTTTTGTCTTGAATTTTTTGCAAAAACAAATTTTTTTGCTGGTAGAAAAACTTATTGAATCCCCAAAATCTGTTTGTGTGCATGCCTATGTGTGTGAAAATGGTGACTTTCTCCTGGCAGCAAATTCAGAGAAATCAGACACACACAAAGGTAACATTTGAGGACAGAAAGGGGCAAAATTTCATCCTGGATCAAATTCATGAATAGAGTTGAAGCTGTTTAAATGGGAGAATGATAACTGGGACAGTTGCTGTCATAGGACAAACTTAAAGAAAATATTTTTTCCTGTTAAACTGAATAAATGTTCCGTTGCTTTAACAGAAGGATTGTAATGACTGGAACCATGGTACTGGGATGTCTGGCTGCATGACTGCCCTGTAGATTACATGACACATTATAAACTACTTACTTTTAGGCAATAATAAAAATACCTGATGCATAATAATGCCCATCACTGATACCATACTTTCCATCCAAAGCGCTCTGCAGATGAGGGTAAGTATCATTTCAAACTGCTTTACAAACCAAGGGATGTGACTTGCCCAAGGTCATAAAGCAAGCCAGTGACAGATCCAGGAACAAAACTCAGATCTCCTGATGCTCAGACCCTGGCCACTGAGCCTGGATTTATTGAAATAACTGAGCTGCTGAAACATGTGGTGTTGTCTTAAAGTAACTTTTGAATAAACTTTAAAAATGAGGCTAATTGTGGTAAAACTGGACCCACTGAGGAATGTGTTTCTGTGAAGGATCTTTTATTGTGCTTCCAAACCCACCCGTTTTCATAGGCTCCATTTTACAGCTCTTCTCTTGGGATATCTGCCTGCTAACTGTTGCCTTGTGGTATAATTTCTGGAGCTGATATCGCTAAGGCGAATTAGTATTGGCAACCCTGACTTCATTCTGCTGATGACATCCTTAGGGAGGGGTGATCCTTTCTAATGGTCATTCAACATCCTGTGTAGCTCCAACCTAAACTACTCTGAAGCAAAGAGGTGGGACTTCACAGTCAGGGAAAGGCTGTCTGTTCTCTGTCTGCCTTTAGTCTGCAGCACCTATGAATGCTTACCTGTTCGCTATAACCACATAGTGGAGAGACATCAGTTTATAGAAAAGAATCCCTTGTCAGGGGTGCTGAGTCACACCCCAGAGTCACCCTGGTAGTCCTTGAAGCAGGACAAGAATTACTAAAAGGGGAAGCCAGATCCTCTACCTCTGGTCTGTCCCCTTTGAATTACCAGCTGGTGATTCCCTTTGTGAAGGGGAAACCCATGGGGGTGTCAAGCCAGGATAGCTGGTTCTGTACCACCTGCTCCTAGCCCCTGCCCCATGCCAGGGACAGGATGGATGAAACGAGGAATGGACAGAGCACACTGCACTCTGGCAAGCCCAGGCTAATGGAATGGCCTGTTACTGATATTAGAGCCAAGAATCTGACTCAAGAGCTGCTAAGACTGACCAGCAGGAAATATATCATTTAAATAGGTTTGTTTCTTTTCTCAGAAACTGATTTATTTGGAGATGGGAAGTTTCCCCAAACTACCAATTTCCTAGCTTCATATCTATATGATAAATATCTTCCCGGCCAGGGAATGAGTGTATTTCCCCTTTCTTCGTATTTTTGTTCTGTAGTTGGCATTATCATTTGCTAACTGTATCACAACACGCTTTTTACCTTGGTCCACTGCTTCAAAACCTTTGTGTGGCTTCAACCTCTTTACTCTAGGAACTTCACAGAGTAAATAGCGGATGCTCTGTAACCTGAAGACTTTAAATCATTATTTCAGGACTTCAGTAACTCAGCCAGAGGTTAGGGGTCTAGTACAGGAGTGGGTGGGTGAGGTTCTGTGGCCTGCAATGTGCAGGAGGTCAGACCTGATGATCATGATGGTCCCTCTGACCTTAAAGTCTATGAGTCTGTGAGATAAATCACTGATCTTGGGAAGCTAAGGAAAGAGTTACCTTCTGGTAAGAATGCAGTAATTAAGCATGCCACTCCCGCCACTATGTTGCTTATGGCAAATGGAAGGCGTCGGCCAATTCGATCGATTGTCAGTAAAATCAAGAGAGCTGCAGGTAATTCCACAGCTCCGGAGATGAAAAAGTCTAGGTAGAGGTTTCCTCCTATAATTCCTAGGCGCATAACAAGCCCTTGGTAAATCAGGGCACTTGTAAACCTAAACAGAAAACATTGAGACAAACACAAATAAATGTAAGCAGCTGACTTGAATTTCAAGTTTGAGAGAATCACAACACCGAAAAAATAGGACACTCAAAACCCAGTAAAATTGGGACTTACCAGGCATACATTAGAATCAACGTGTATTTTCTCATATGGGGAGTTCTAACCAGGTCGAGAAATGATGGATTACTAACCTCTTCATCTGTAACTGTGATCTACAGAAAAGCAAACATCAGAATCAGCAGACCATAGGCAGGAACACAGGCCACCCCAGCTGAGCTAGTACATCAGCTATGGGAGAGGGCTCAGAATGTAATACAGCTGCAGACTAATTTCCAGCTCCTTAATATTTTGTAATGACAACATATATGCCAGAAAAAAATACAGCTTATTTTCCAGCTCCTATTGAGTTTCAGGAGAAAAAAAAACCATATTTTTACTTGTAAATGTGGAAGTGGACTTAGAGGTCCCTGGGAGGCAACAAACCTGGCATCCTGCAATGCCATTTTTACAGCTGCTTTTCAGGGCAGAATTGAACTTTAAGGGTGACACAGAGAAGGAACTCGATTGTGAGTTCATTCCCCACAGCCAGCCCATGAAATTGTAATGGTTGATGGTCAGAACAAAGGGGTGGGTCTGCAGAGGGGTAAGAGATGGAGAGAGCAAACAGCAATGGCCTTGAGAGTGTTTTTGATACTACAGATGAGTAGCAGGAGGAAAAGTAGGGAGGAGGACACTATCAAGAAGTGAGGCCAGGGTGGAAAGGCCCAGAACAGAGAAAGATTAATGTCTGCCCTCCCCAAAACATTTAAATGAAGCAGAAGGCAATGGGCCTTCAGAATGTGCTTATAGTTAAGAATGTGCACAAGCATTCTGCTGATTTCGGCCTTTTCCTTAAAAATCTGCAAATTATTTATAAATATCAATTAAGCAACCCTTCCCCGAGATGAGGAGGAAAGTATTGTTTTCTCCATTTTACAAGTAGGTGAAATGAGGATGAGAAAGCACCCATGGGGCCTGGCTATACAAACACCCAACTTAGGGCCTGGCTATACAAACAATTAGACCACGGCAAACTGGGGTGTGAATCTCTCCCGTGCTAGCTGCCTGCGGTTTAACTGTCTGTGTGCACTGGGTGCATGTTAACAGGTCGCTAAAGCGCTCTGAGCTACTCCCAGTTCAACGAGGACTAGATCAAAACTCTCTCACAAACTGTCAATGCACATCAGCAGGGAGCACATGAACAGGTAGACCAGATTCATACACCAGCTTGCTGTGATTTTTGTGTAGGCAAGCCCTTGGCCAAGGTAATACAACAAATCAGCAACAGAATAAGGAGTAGAATCCAGGAGTCTTGATTGAGATTTTTAAAGCTGTGCAAGGGATTTAGTCTCACATAGTCAGTGGAAGAGGTGTGGCTAAATCCCCTGTGTTGCTTTGAAAGTCTCAGTCATAGAATCATAGAATCATAGAATATCAGGGTTGGAAGGGACCCCAGAAGGTCATCTAGTCCAACCCCCTGCTCGAAGCAGGACCAAATCCCAGTTAAATCATCCCAGCCAGGGCTTTGTCAAGCCTGACCTTAAAAACCTCTAAGGAAGGAGATTCTACCACCTCCCTAGGTAACGCATTCCAGTGTTTCACCACCCTCTTAGTGAAAAAGTTTTTCCTAATATCCAATCTAAACCTCCCCCACTGCAACTTGAGACCATTACTCCTCGTTCTGTCATCTGCTACCATTGAGAACAGTCTAGATCCATCCTCTTTGGAACCCCCTTTCAGGTAGTTGAAAGCAGCTATCAAATCCCCCCTCATTCTTCTCTTCTGCAGGCTAAACAATCCCAGTTCCCTCAGCCTCTCCTCATAAGTCATGTGTTCTAGACCCCTAATCATTTTTGTTGCCCTTCGCTGGACTCTCTCCAATTTATCCACATCCTTCTTGAAGTGTGGGGCCCAAAACTGGACACAGTACTCCAGATGAGGCCTCACCAATGTCGAATAGAGGGGAACGATCACGTCCCTCGATCTGCTCGCTATGCCCCTACTTATACATCCCAAAATGCCATTGGCCTTCTTGGCAACAAGGGCACACTGCTGACTCATATCCAGCTTCTCGTCCACTGTCACCCCTAGGTCCTTTTCCGCAGAACTGCTGCCTAGCCATTCGGTCCCTAGTCTGTAGCTGTGCATTGGGTTCTTCCGTCCTAAGTGCAGGACCCTGCACTTATCCTTATTGAACCTCATCAGATTTCTTTTGGCCCAATCCTCCAATTTGTCTAGGTCCTTCTGTATCCTATCCCTCCCCTCCAGCGTATCTACCACTCCTCCCAGTTTAGTATCATCCGCAAATTTGCTGAGAGTGCAATCCACACCATCCTCCAGATCATTTATGAAGATATTGAACAAAACCGGCCCCAGGACCGACCCTTGGGGCACTCCACTTGATACCGGCTGCCAACTAGACATGGAGCCATTGATAACTACCCGTTGAGCCCGACAATCTAGCCAGCTTTCTACCCACCTTATAGTGCATTCTTCCAGCCCATACTTCCTTAACTTGCTGACAAGAATACTGTGGGAGACCGTGTCAAAAGCTTTGCTAAAGTCAAGAAACAATACATCCACTGCTTTCCCTTCATCCACAGAACCAGTAATCTCATCATAAAAGGCGATTAGATTAGTCAGGCATGACCTTCCCTTGGTGAATCCATGCTGGCTGTTCCTGATCACTTTCCTGATCCTGTCCCTGATGCTGGGTCCCTTGTTCTAACCACTCAATAGGTATCGTTACCTCCCCACTGATGGGGCCTGGCAGAGCAAACAGCGAACCAAGCAAGCACAAAAGAGGATTGATAAAAAAAAGATGTGATTGTGGAAAGAGAAAGAAGGACACCCACCCCCCCTTCTCCCATCTGTGCTGTGAAGTCAATGGAAATTACTTTGTGTGGTGGGGGGAAAATGAGGCCAAAGGGAATGTAGAGACAGAGACCATGCTGATTGGTGAGGAGAACAATAAACTTGGTCAAACAGCATTGCCCAGTGATCTGATTCTAGTTCAACCAAGGCTGTATACATGAATTTTATTTTGTATTTATTCCTCATCTCATAATATATAACCTTAACTTTTCAGTGAGACAAACAGCCCTTTGAGTGGACTTTTAACACCCCCTTTAGCAAAAAGAGTGTCCCAGAACATTGGAAGTGTTAATGAAACCCCAGTTTGCCCTGGGTTCTCTTCCATTCCCTTTCATCATTGCTAGGAACCCTCTTCCCATCTTTACAGCTATTTTGTTTTCTGTAACGGAGTGAGATGTTTTCTCAAAGTTGCTTCCATTCTTTACATGCCAGCTCCCACTTTTTTAATCCTACAATGTGTTTGTCAGGCACTCATTTACATTCCAGATCAGAATCTGCTGGTTGCTGACATTTGTTATGGGCACACTCATGAAGGAGATAAAGCTGCCTTCATTTTGTTTATAAGAACATGTTGGCAGTGAGCAGCATGTGAACCTTGTGCAAATATGGTATTCATTTTCCCATGCAGAGATAAATGAAGCAGTCTTAACACAATGCCCTGTCTGTCTCAAGTGCCACTAACACTAGTTGGAAATAATGTTTGAGTATGATTTATGGGCTGGGGGAAAAGGACATTAAAATCATTGCAAAAAAACTCTTAACTCTTTTAAGGTCAAATCTTGGCCTCACTGAAATCAATGAGCGTTTTCCCATTGACTTCAATGCAGCCACAATTTCACCGTTAGTACCCAAAGACATGTTATATCCTAACCCTGGGAAGAGCAAAGAGATTTTGTATAAAATGATGTACTTCATCAATTCCTATCTCATTGTTTCTACAATGGTTTTAAAAATTCCAGTAAAAGTTGTGTACTTCACAAGCTTCGGTGCGGATCCTGCAAACTCTATGCACTGTGACAGTCTCCAATTCAGCAGCCCATGTCTATTCAGCATAGAACCAAGCCTGGTCTTCACTACGGGGAGATAGATGCTGCTGCATCGATTTAGCAGGTCTAGTGATGACCCACTAAATCAATGGCAGAGTGCTCTCTGGTGGACCCCTGTACTCCAGTTCTCTGAGACGAGTAAGGGCTGTCAACCGGAGAGTGTCTCACATTCACACAGTGCAGTGAAGGCACTGGGGTAAGTCAACCTAAGCTATGTCGACTCCAGCTGCATTATTCACGTAGCTGGAGTAGCATAATTTACGTCGACTTACCCCCATAATGAAGATAAGCCCTAACAAGCTCTTGAAGTCAGTGGGATTTAAGCATAGACTTTAAGTGCTGTACTGAATTACAGCCACAGCGTATAAAATTAAGAACATGTGTAAGTCTTTGCAGCATCAGGACCTTAACAACATGAGCAAAATCTTCTGTGCATGTTCAGAGTGAGATTTTCCAAGGCTTACATCTCTGTCTAATCAACATCAGTTTTCACTAGAATACTCCAGGTCATTTCTCCTCAGAGAGGATACTATCCACATCTATCCCTGCCATTTTAATGCAAGAGATCTTTTTTTAAAAAAGACAAGATTTTTTTTTATAATGGGAAAATAATTTGTTCCTCTCTCCTGTCACTTAAAAATGGATGAAGTGATTTTGCACATATGCTTACAAAACATTCACCCTTGTGCAGAGACCAACTGTAAAACATTTCAGCTTGAAAAATGAAATTTGGGGGAAATTATGCACAACTGAGAACAGGGGGTTACACTGGAAACAACATTTAATAAATTGTGACCAGTCTCCTACTATCACAATGCTGTAATACAAATACTGAACAAAACAATGCTCATCTGTCTTCGCTTCACACTCATTACTTGAGCTAGTCAGAAAATATAACATCAAAGCAGAAGTGTTATGCAGAGATTTATTGGTTTCAATGAATATTTAATCAGGAAGGTTTGGGGGTCTGAGGGAAGGGAGTGGAGAGCGAGCGAGGGAAAGACTCTCTTGATGGTTAGGCACTGGTCTGGGATGTGAGACACTCGGGTTCAAAGCCCTGCTCTGCATGATTCAGAGGAGAGGTTTTTCATTCCCATATCACTCTGAATCAGGCATGTGTCCCAAACTCTCTCACGCATACTCATTCTCTGTCTCTCTCAATCAAAAGCTCAGGTTTCAACACAATTATGTTTTTGAGAAAACATTTGAAAGGCTTTTGACTTGTTCCAGTGAGGAACAAAACCAACATTTCAGAACCTTGAAAATTGCAGTGAAACAGAAGTGTCCTCCGGTCACCTCTATTCATCAACATGGTATCTGAGTGCCAATAAAGGCTCTGATTTTCTGGGCATCTAATCCTTTCAGGCTCTCTTGAAAATCTTAGCCAAAGTCCATGCATGTTATGGTGGATTCTCTCTCTCTCTCACACACACACACACACACACACACACTAACGCCTTTGTAAAGCTAGAGATAATTATCAGGAAGACAATTCTGGTATGAGTAAAAATGAGAAATGTACTTGACCCCCTATTAATGCACTTCCTGAAATATCACTGTCTCCTGGGCACAGCATCAGGAATGACAGAAGTTGTATATCAAAAAGGTCCCAGGAACAGATCCAAAGTGCAGCTCAGATATTACTCAAGGTTAAGCAGTTGCAGCTGTGAACTGGGGTCATGACTGTGACTATTTCTTAAGAATGTCAGCTGAGATCTTAATAAGTGTGATGGGAAAAGATACAAGTCTCTATATTCTAGTCCAGGTTTTTAAAATACTGAAGTGTAGAAAAGAGAGATTAATCTGAGAACATGAACAGTTTTACTGACTTCTGTCTCACTCATGTATCTTTCCACTTCATTTCTCTCTTAACTGTTTCAGTTTACACGTCTGTAACTGCAGAAGATGCTATTCCAATCTAGCTAGTTTACCCCACTCAATCTCTTGGGCTGGGGGTGACACTGACATCATCTTGGCCTGCATAGTGGAAATGATTTACTAATTTCTGGCCTAGCCTTTCACTGGTAATCAAAACTTCATCCATCACACTGCTTCACATATCTACAGCCATCCTGTCCTCTAATTATATTCTGTTGGCCAAGTAAATGAGTGGCCCAATACGTTGCCTATTCCCACACAAAAAAATGTCATTAATGTAAGCTTGCTCCTGTGATTAATATAATGTTCACAGAAACTCCATAACAAGAACATTATGACAATTACACAAAACTATGCACTAAAAAGCATGGAAATGACTAGTTAAGGAAAGGTATATGGATATTTCAACATATCCATCCCTGCTGATATATGTGTATCTATAAAACATATAACTAATGATATATGTATGTGTTAAAATAGTTTGTAAAGGTGTCAGGAAGGTCAGAGTTTAGCTTGTTTGTGAAATATGTCAGGTGAACTCTTACATTTCAAAATTGTCATTAACTGAATGTATGAATTATAAGGATAATGGAATATTTATACACATTAATTTCTATGCTTTTTTGCACCTTTTTTTGCAATGGAATATGCAGTTTTTATGAGGACTATATTTATCATAGGAGCAACCATGAGTAACTGACACTGGGTGGGAGTTGTGACTAATTCAAAGAAATTTTTTCTTACAGTGTAAATAAAATCATGCAGATTTGGGCAAAGTGTCCACTTTTGTGGAGGAAGAACAATAACTTGAAGGGATAAATGCCTAGTCTTCTGTCCAAGGTGGGTGAGGAAATATCTTTTATGGTAAAAAGAAAAGGAGTACTTGTGGCACCTTAGAGACTAACAAATTTATTTGAGCATAAGCTTTTGTGAGCTCAAATAAATTGGTTAGTCTCTAAGGTGCCACAAGTACTCCTTTTCTTTTTTTGCAGCTACAGACTAACACGGCTGCTACTCTGAAACTTATCTTTTATTGGACTAACTTCTGTTGGTGAGAGAGACAAGATTTCGAGCTTACATAGAGCTGAAGAAGAGCGCTATGAAAATCAGGGTCAATGTAGTATATTGTGGCGCAGTCTCTTTCAAATTAGTCATGTGTAAGGCTGCGAGTTTGTCACAGAGGTCATGGATTCCATGGCTTTCCATGATATCCATGACTTCTTCAGCGGCAGGTAAGGCTGGCCTGGGGGCCGCCTGAGCAGCTCAGAAAGCCCCTGGGCCAGCCACACCAGCTGGTGCTGGGGCCGTCTCGGGCCACCACCCCCCAGTGCCATCAACAGAAGGAGTTTGGGGGTGGGGGGGCTCAGGGGTGGGGGTTGGGGTGTGGGAAGGGGTGAGGGTTCTGGGCAGTGCTTACTTTGCGCGGGGCTCCTCAGAAGCAGCGACATCCCTCGGCTCCTAAGGGGAGGCGTGGCCAGCGGGCTCTGCGCTCTGCCTCCGCCTGCAGGCACCGCCCTCGCAGCTCCCATTGGCTGCAGTTCCCGGCCAATGGGAGCTGCAGAGTCAGCGCTCAGGGAGGAGGCAGCATGCAGAGCTGCGTGGTTGCGGCTCCGCCTAGGAACTGAGGGATGTCACCGCTTCCCAAGCACCCTTTGCACTCCCTGGGGCCACCCCCACAGCATCCCCTGGGGCTGCCCACCCCTGAGCACCTGTGGCACCCCTGGGCCACCCCTCTCCCCAATATTTAGTCAGGGATATATAGAAATATAGACTCATAGAATATCAGGGTTGGAAGGGACCTCAGGAGGTCATCTAGTCCAACCCCCTGCTCAAAGCAGGACCAATACCAACTAAATCATCCCAGCCAGGGCTTTCTCAAGCCTGACCTTATAAAGCTCTAAGGAAGGAGATTCCACCACCTTCCTAGGTAACCCATTCCAGTGCTTCACCACCCTCCTAGTGAAAAAGTTGTTCCTAATATCCAACCTAAACCTCCCCGACTGCAACTTGAGACCATTACTCCTTGTTCTGTCAAGTCATGGACTGGTCATGGGCCATGAATTTTTGTTTACTGCCTGTGACCTGTCCATGACTTTTACTGAAAATACCCATGACTAAAATGTAGCCTAAGTCATGTGTAATCACCAGAAGGCCTCCCAGGGTAATGAGTCTCTGATATGCAGACAAACTCAGGTCTGCATGTTCAGAGTCCGTAGGAACCATCTTGCTATGTAACTTTTAAAGATGGTTCTACTTTAAACTTTATATCCCTGGAGTCACTCTGGGTTCCTGATGTACAGGGGCTGCAGCATACCCACAAGGAAGATATTCTCAGCTGCCTGACCATGTTAGAGAGCACAACAGTTAGTGTTCAAGCTGCACAAAAAAAAGTCATTGACAGCAAACCTCCCCACCCAGGGAAAAGAGAGAGAGGCAGTTTTACTTCAAACCTATGAATCACAGACAAAATCTTTCCTCTAACCCATTTGGGGGTTATTGTGAAACTTTACCAATGTTGTTCAGCGTGCTGCTGAGTGAATATTTCCCACAAATATTTTTTCTTTACCAGGAACAAGTTAACCATTCCTTTTAAAAAATCTTAATATGTTCAGTGGTGGATAGACTGCAGTCCTCTAGGGATTTTCTCCAGTGAAGCTAATGATTTAAAACAGATCTTCTAAGGCGAACCTGTGAGGTTCTGAAGTCTGACATTTAACTTCCAAGCCTGGCTTGTAGACTATACCTACAGATCTCTTGACTGACTGTTGCTGATAGGCTATTTGTCTACATGTCCAAAGCTAAAGAAAGTACTCTTTTGAAACCATTCAATGCAATGAGATATAGTCCATGGCCATATGTAATGCCATAACACTATGACAATGTATACTTAACCATGTCAGTCCTTTCACCTCCATCCAGGGCCACAAGAGAATTCTGATTCCATCAGATAACCTCCCTTTTGCAAATGGTGAACTCATAGTCAATACAGATTCTGCTTCCCCTAGTTTAAATTTTGGCCATCCCTTTGCTCCTGTAGAGAAACTCTTGGGAGGAGGGCAAATCTGTGGGTTTCAGTTCAGAGCTCCTCTTAGATCCTCCCTTTGGGCAGGAGGGGTTTGGGACCCAGTGGACCAGCCAGAGGAAGCAGCAGCAGCTCCCAAAGACCCTGATGCCTCCATGTGATTTGCCAGGTCTCCTGGACCCTCATTCCCTCAAATGATGGTCCAGGAGTACCAGCAAGTCACGTCCAGGTTCAGCGTGTAAGTTCATGCTGCAAAGAGCAATGCAAGCTTTCATGCAGCTATCCATATATGATGTTCTAGGAGAGGAGCATGAGCAGCAGTGTCATTGCACAGTAGTGCTGATACTGCCCACTTAAAACTGCAGTATGCTTGAACAACACTCCCGTGCCTTAGTACTGTCTCTTCCCCCTACAATCGGTATGCCCTCTAAAATTTGGCGCGGCCCTTAACAAGCAGAATAGGCATGGAGGGGCTATTATGCTGTGCTCACTATGTTTAATAATATAGCATTACAGTAGCAATCAAAGACTCAAATCAGGATTAGGGTATCCTTGTGCTAGGCTTTCTACAAATATGTAGAAAGACACAATCTCCATTCTGCAACATAATTTAAGGCCCCTTTGCTGCGTTGTTCCTACTCCGTTGCTCTGAACCACAAGGTCTATAATTAGGGCTGACCAAGAAAAACATCATTACAAGAAATATGACCAAAAAAAACCAAAACGAGAAACAACTTTGTTAGGGAATCTTATTAACCAGCTCCCTCCCTCCCCCCTCCCCACCACTAAGTACTTAGAACCCACTTCCTTGTTCAACCTTTATTTTTTAGGACTGAGATAAATATCAGCTCCACAATGAGACTAACGGACACATCCTCCACATGGTGTACGTCAGCAGACAGACTACTACACAATATTGTCGGATCATAAGCCGTTATGAAAGATGCTGGCCCCTAGTGATTTAAGATGTCTAGTATAGTTCTTTAAGATATGGGATGTTTAGTGTGAATTTTACATTAGTAACTCAGCACTCCCATCTCTTATGACTTCTTGGAAATCTTCTCATTTCAACACATGTCCTTTCAATAAACCTACTTCTTCCTTCTCAAGAGAAAAAAAAATTGAGCCGGACAATCTGTTCACGGTGTTGTACTGTAAAATTCTTCTAAACCAAACAGAAAGGCCACTGGTTAAAGATCAAACAAAACTGAAGCAAACATATGGTAAGTACCTCAGAGTAATACGGTGAGAGATATTTCCCATTATGCTTGGCAATGGTGTGCATAATGTTTAATGCCTTTTCTCCTTTTTTGCGTGTCAGCAGCCAGCGTGGAGATTCAGGAACTGCCCTGTAAAAGCACAGAGGGAGGCAAGGATTTTGCTTAATAGTGTCTAGAAAACCATGGGAATCATCACCTGCATGAACACCTAATGCAGTGATTCTTCAGCCTCTCAACAAGATAGAAATTCTTCCATGGACCCAGCTTCCCAGTCAACCTTCAGCTTGACTCTCAAAATACTTCATGCCATGGACAACCAGGAAGGTCTATGGACCACAGCTTGAGAACTAGTAGATTGTCTACAGTTTACATGCAACTTTCAGCCATTTATCTTTATCTTTTTTTATTCATATAGTTGTTAGATCTTGCTCAACTTTCCTGGAAGTTTCCTAAGGCCCAGAAGCCGTAGGGAATTGGTGACAGGACATGTAACTTTTTGCCTCTACATTGGAGGTCCTAATCTAGTTCAGATCAAATGGTTGATTGATGGCCTATGTGAAAGGAGTTGTTGACCTGGTCTAGTTCTTAGCATTGCCCTGCAGTAGTAGCTGTGTCAGTCCCAGGATATTAGAGACACAAGGTGGGTGAGGTAATACCTTTTATTGAACCAACTTATCTTGGTGAGAGAAAGAAGCTTTAGAGCCACCCAGAGCTCTTCTTCAGACCTCCAGATTTCTTCAGCTTATCTCTCACCCAACAGAAGTTGGTCCAGTAAAAGATATGACCCCACTCGCCTTGTCTCCAGTGCTTAATGTATAATCAAAGAGGTGCTGGGGCTCAAGCAATTATATGTTGGAGCTCAAGCAAATTTTTTACTGTCAAACTGACCTGGCAAGCGCAGAGGTACCAGGACTATGAACTGCCAAGCCTAGAGGTGCCAGAGCTCAGCCCTGGCACAACTTAAGCACTGCTTGTCTCTCTAATTCTTAGCAGACAGTTAAGCATGGGATTGGGTGATTGTAGAGTTCGGATTTAGTCCCAGCTCTGTCACTAGCTTGTTGTAAGAACTTCAACAAATCTGCCTCAGTTTCTCCAACTGCAAAGGAGAATAGTTACCCACCTTTGTAAAGTGCTTTGAGAGTTTTAGATGAAAACCACTGTAACTCTATAACCACAAAGTTTTATTAAAACTCACCACCAGGGTTTGCACTAAGTGGCACCTTTCTGACAGTCTTAGAGAGGAAAAGGAGTGAATGACATGGAGAATGAATTACCTGTTTACCCAGAGATGTAGTTCCCTTCAGGTCAGGGTTGAGGCACACAGCTGGGAAGAGAATGATAGGTAGGTGCAGCTGATTCAGAAGTAGTGCATACTTCCCCACACTGCCCTAACTAAAGTACTTCAACCTTGACTTGGAGGACAACTCCTACAAGAAAGAAGGTAAGGGAGTTCACTCTCCATTCCTGTTCAACCCTGGGCCTTTTCCATTCCATTCAAATGAAATATTGCTTGTGGTCAAGCCAAACATACAAGTTAATTAACATCTCTGTGTGGTTCTTGTTCCCCTCAAGTGTTTCCTGGCACTTTGAAAGTCCCTGACCTTCCAATAATCTCTTTGTAGAATACTGGGTGGGGGAATCATAGTGCCACAGAGTCAAAGAGTAAATTAACAACAACAAAAATAACATTTAAAACTTCTAATGGGTGTTGTTCTACCAATCATTGCTCTCGCCCCTCTTTTTGTATTTGGTACATTGAACTCTGCAAGGCCAAATTCAGTCCTGGTGTACCTCCTGTGTACTCAGTTGAACTACATCAGGGAACAATTTTTGGCTCAAAATGTTTGCTTGCCTTGTGAACACCTAGGAAAGAACTGAATGAAATTCCTTGGCTACTACTGGGACAGTATTCAGTCACAAATAAATGTAATTAAACTTTCAAAAACATGTATATGAGATCCTCCAAAGAAGTTTAATTTGGAATCCAGGCCTATGAGACCTCTACAAGGCAACCAGAGAACTTTGGAGGATGGACCTAGTGGTAACAAAAGTCCACCCATGAAAATATAGGCATATTGTGAAGGACATTTTTGGTGGATTCCAGACCTGTAAAACCTATTTGGAAATGTCAGACTATGGGTCTTGTATAGTTTGACTAATCAGAAAGGCATTTTATCAGGCCACAAAGTTTTTTTTTTTTCACTTTATATTTTGTAACCAGGTCTTAATCTGAAATGCATCCAACAGTAATTTCTGAAAAGTTCAGGGAAACCCTCTTTTTAAGAATTCTCTGATCTAGATCTGAATACAAAGCATGAACCTACAGAGGTCAAAATGAACACAATACCGTTACCAGTAATACAGCAGGAAAAGAAAACTGGGGAGCGTTACGGCCAGCTGAAGCCCCTGCCATGTGGGAACCAGGTAAGCAATTCCAGGAAGAATCATTATTCCAAGGGTGAAGAACATCTGTATCACAATTCCAACAATCCTTCGCTGATCTGAGCCAACTATTTCTGTCACTGAAGAGAAGGGAAAAACAGAAACAGAAATAAACCCTATTCAAGTTAAAAATATTACATTTGCAATGTTGGTTCACAGTTATGCAGGAGGTTCTACCTTGGATTACAACTGAAGGTGCCCTTTTTTCTAAAAATTACGTGTAACCCATGTGCCTAATAGGGAGTTATTGGGGGGGAAAGGGGAAGGAATGAGTGTCTGGGTCACTGTTGCTAGGCCAATGCACAGTTAGCGTTCCATGTCCAGAAGTTTCTGGAATTGGGTGCTGTGCTTTTGGTCATACTCACTAAGCTCCCTGTAGCTGGACTCAGACTCCACTGAGAGCAAATAGTTAGGGCAGCTGCTTTATAAAAAGACACATGACCTACATGGGCTGGGAGAAGCTCAGGAACAGGAGCAGGCTGGCTTCCCCTAACTCTGAAGCATTTTGCAGCCGGCTAGTGCTATGGCTAACTCTGCAACACTGGCAGGGAAGCACCAGCAGTGTTAGTTTCTCCCTCCCATTTCCTCTTTCTGTGACTATCTTCTTTCATTTTAATTATATACCTGGAATGTTATTTGATGTTTAGCTAAACTGTTTTAGTTAAATTGCCTTAACCAGTATGGGTCACAATCTCTCTTCTTAGTTAAGTGTGATGCTAGAGAAAGAGTCATCTGTATTTGGCTCTTCTCAGTTTTTTATTTTTATTGTAACAGGGTTTTTAATTTATATACTTAATACTGATTGGTTGGTTAATTGGTTGACTAGCTGATTGAGTCATTCTACAGTTCAGCAGAGAAGGAGAAAGAGTCTTCGTGGGCTTCAACTGGAGATTTCTGCATGCAAGAGGCAGGAATATATTGTTGCAGTGCTTTTAACTCAGCAGGCTGTTTTGAGTTCATGAGCAAAGACTGAAGAGAACTCCAACCTCAACTTTTGGAACTCTGAGTTACTTCTCACTGTGAGTTTGTGGAGACTAACCTGTTTAGATTTAATTGGTTTGATTTTTTGTTTCTATTTATGTATAACTCTGAAAATAATATATGTGGATTATGAAGTAGCCCTGTTATGTAGTAGAAAATAAGCTATTATTATTGTGTTTCTTTATCATTATAAGAGTTTATAAAATTAGTACTTAAGAATTAAGTTAATTACTTTTGCTCTTTTTTTTAACTTGATTGTGAGGAGGTTGACCTCTGCAGATGCAGAGGAATTTGTATCACCGGTGATTGAGAGCTCCTTAACATCAAGGCTCAGAGACTCGATCTGAATACATTGAACTCCCATAATCTTGTCCCAGTAAAAACGGGTTCAGTATAAAATCTAAGATTCTTTGGGGGCAGCCTCTTCTTGGATTGTTCCAAAGTATCGTGTCAATAATTTGAAGGGTATATCTCCAGGATATTACAGGAACCAACCTCCAAGTGTACTGAAGTCAATGTTTTGGTATAAAGTATATGTTCCCCAGAGATCAATATATGAGGCATAGTAACTTAGGCCACTGATCAGCCTTAAACGTACCTGCTGGTAAAGCAAAGGGATAAATAAATCACATTGACCAAGGCATGGTCAATACCAGAAAGTTAGGTCAGCATAACTACATCATTCAGGGAAAAATCACCACCACTAAGTGGCATAGTTAAGTCACCGAAGACATCAGTGGAAGAATTTCTCCATTGACCTAGCTACCACCTCTCAGGGAGGTGGATTACTTACGCAGATGGGAGAACCTCTCCCATCTGCTTAGGTAGTGTCTACACTGATGCACTACAGAGGTGCAACTGCAGTGTAGACAAGCCCTTAGGCTGTTAAGTACCTACGTCACTTTTGAAAAGGGGACTTTGCCTTAGATCTACACTACAGAGTTAAGTCGACTTAAGTTATGTTGACGCTCATAAACCACTGTAATTACATCGCTTGTGTATGTTCACACAAAGCTCCTTGTGTTGGCGGAGCGCATCCACAGTTGGTGCTCCAGTATCAACAGAGAAAGCAGTGCACCATGGGTCGCTATCCCACTGTGCAACTCACCACCTTCTGCTGCCAGAAGTTCTGGGAATGGATCGCAGTGCATCATGGGGGCAGGCTCATCATCCCATGTTGCAGTTTTCTCCATTCCATCATTCCATGCGCTTCCAACTACTTTTCAACTGCCCCTGTAGACTGTGTGCCCGCCATCTCTTCCTGATAGCATGAATCCTGCACTGCTCTCCAGTCTTGTTATGAACACAACACAGCTGATCCTACAGTATTTCATGACCTGCAAATCTGAAAATGAACCCGTGGTGCCTGCCCTGATGTGTGCCATGGAAAGAAACAATTCAGGATTGATGTTAGCATTCACAAAAGAGCTGCACACAGTGGAGCATCACTACTGGCTTTGGGAAACAAGCACTGAGTGGTGGGGCCACATCATTATGCAGGTCTGGGATGATGAGCAGCTGCAGAATTTTCGGATGTGCAAAGCCACCTTCCTAGAACTCTGTGTGTGGAACTTGCCCCTGCCCTGTAGTGCAAGAACAATGAGAGCTGCCCACATGGTGGAAAAGCAAGTAGCAATAGCTGTGTGGAAGCTGGCAACTCCAACTGCTATTGGTCAGTTGCTAATCAGTTTGGAGTTGGGAAGTTCACCATAGGGGTTAGGATTATGCAAGTGTACAGGGCCATTAATTGCCTCCTGTTCCGAAGGACTGTGACTCAATGTATGGGAAATAATGAATGCTTTTGCAGCAATGGGATTCCCTAGCTGCAGTGGGGCAATAGGTGGCATGCATATCCCAGTTTTGGCCCCAGACAGATATAACAGATTACATCAACAGAAAGGGCTACTTCCCTATGGTATTGCAGGTGCTGGTGGATCACTGGGCTTGTTTCACTGACATCATTGTGGAGTTGTCAGGGAAGGTGCACACATCTTCAGGAACACTGATCTGTATAGAGAGCTGCTTGCAGGGACTTTCTTTCCACACCAATAAATTCCAAAAGGGGATGTGGAAATGCCGATAGTGATCCTGCCTACCTCTTACTCCCATGGCTCATGAAGCCTTACATGAAAGCTTGACAGCAGCAAAGAGTGTTTGAACAACAGGCTCAGCAGGTGCAGAATGTCCACTGAATGTGCATTTGGTAGATTAAAGGGTCGCTGGCACTGCCTTTTGGCAGGTTAGACCTCAATGAGGAAAATATTTGCATGGCTGTAGCAGCCTGCTGTGCTCTGCATAACGTTTGTGAAGCTAAAGGGGAAAAGTTTCCCCGGGATGGAATGCTGAGGTGGATCACTTGGCGGCAGATTTTGAGCAGCCAGATATCAGGGTTATAAGAGGGACTCTGGGAGGGCTATTTGAATCAGGGTTATGTTATGTTCCAGTGATGATCTATCTCCACTGGTTCCTTTCACCTCTGATCATTGGTGAACAACTGTACAGTTCTCACTTACCTTCACATTCAGGTAGTCTGTCCACCAACATCCATTCCCTCAATCTCCCCACCCAAAAAGGGGAAAAGTACAGCTCTTACCAATAACATAGGCTGTCATCCAGGTTCCCTTTCCAAATACACCTTGTAGGAAGCGAAAGATCAAAAATACATAAACATTTGGTGCAAATGCTACAACAAGGCCACATAAGCCTACTCCAAGGCAGGAGTAGAGGTAAATACGGATTCTGCCATATCTGCCAAAAAAAAAAAAAAGAGCAAAAATGTTGAAATATGACTAATATTTTCCTTCTCGACTTAGTTTATGGCTGGAGTTTAAACCTGCTCCTAAGTCTTGTGTTGATGCTATCAATCTTGTAAGGTTTCCCATCACTAGGCCTTATGATGGTGACTTTCTGAGTCTTTGTTGTACTGGCTACTAGGAATTGGAACTCTCTCCTCCTGGATATTAATCTCAGCCTCTCTATCTCCACTTTTAAAGCAGTGATTGAAAACGTTTAGGCCCAGTTTTTGGAAAACAGTTTCTAATTTTGCATGGTGCACTTAAATTATAGAAATTAGAATGTGCCTATTGAAATAAATGGGACTTTTGCTATTGACTTCAACATGTGCAAGATTATTCCCTTAAACTGCCTATTTTAAGTACAGTCACACCCTGTGTAGGAAATGTCTTACCCTTTACTAGAATGCCAAATGAAGCAGCTGCATAAATATTCTGTTTAGAGCTTATAATGTCTATCTTCCAGTATTTTAATTTTGTATTCATTAGTATTGAATTTTAAACATTTTATCCCAACAATATTAATGGACAAGCCAAGCCTAACTACAGGTCCAGACTAGAGTTGGTTTAAAAAAAGTCAATTTTTTAATAAAAATATTTTTGATCAAAATAAAAACTTTCTTTTTTCTCAAAATTTCCTGTTTTTGTTTTTTGTTTTTGGCTGAAACCCAACCAACCAACACCCCTCTCCCCGCCCCACACACTCCAGAAACCAAAAAAAATTATTTTTTAACAAAAGCAACTTCTGTATTTTTTTCAGGTTTGTTTTTGGGTAGGGGAGGGAGTTGTTGTTGTGGAGAGGACACAAAGCAAAACTAATAAGAAATTTTGACCAAAATGACTTTAAAAAAATACTAAGAAAAATAATTGGTATTTTTCTATAAGCTCTAGGTAAAACCCTTTGAACTATGTGGTAAAGAGACAATTACAGATCCAAATGTTGTGGGTAAGATGTAATTCTATAATAATATAAATTATTTCTATTATCATTTCATCCAAGACTGTCAGGTACTTTATAAGCATCATGATTCTCTCTGATTTGATCATGAGACAACTAGTTTATAGTTGCAGCCCTGAAATGTTGTCTTCATCCAATGTTAACCTGGCTTTAAATCCCTTTATTTTGAATATGGCTAAGTGAATACTTTCAAACAATGATTTGTCAGCTCACTGTCTCTCTCCTTCTTTCTGTTTGCGAATTGTCTGTGTAAAGATTAAAAAAAATTTCTTCACTTGATTCTTTTAAAAGAATTATTCACTTAAGAATGTTTGCAAATAATCCTTGCTCTCTACCATATTTGAGAGCTTTGTTGTGTGACTTCAGTATGCAAAAGTTGTATTGTTTGCTTTTGATTGGACACGTAGGTCACGTGGTAGGTTTGTCCTCTACTGGATGACCATAATTCTCAGTACAATGAGGTTTTTATTGTAAATACTTTTGTTTAGGAATTCAAAGTGCTTTATCTGAGAATATTCTCTGTGTGCTCTGCCTAATAAAATCACCTACTAGGATATTCATGGATAGCAAATAGAAAAGGAGCACAAAACAGCAAAGGTTAATATATTTTTCAAATCAAAGAAATATTCATCTACAGTGAAATTCACCCTTGTATTTGAGCTGGCATGAGGACTGCACACCATTTAATTCTGACTTAATTCCTTAAAATAAGGCTTCCTCCTCCTATTTTGAAGGAAAGTTGGACTTAAGTAGTGCTTAGCTCTGGCATTGGCCCTGTTTACAGGGCTGGATTTCACCCACACATTTTTGCAGTATTCAGTCAGCTCTAAAAATGTTGAAGACCAACTGTAACCATGACCTTGGTGGTCAACATATGGGTATGTGTGCCTTATGTGTGAACTCAGAGGGTTGTAGCACTGAGTTTCTTCTTCCTCTCTCAAAGGAGCTGCTTTCTTCATCAATGGCCTTATGCCCCCTCAGAAATTGTCAACCCCAAAACTCTCTGTGAACGCTTGCTTTTCATTTCTGTGTTCCTCTGTACTTCCTGAGTTCAGATGTGAACAGAAATTATGAAATACCACAAGAAGGGCTCTTTTCATGCTATTTTAAGTCCTAACAGGACCAGGAAGTACTAAAAATCTTATGAAGTTTCCAGACCAGTTTTACAGACTCAGGAAGTTAAGTTTATATGGGACCTGCTTCTTGGAATTGAACTGAACCTCCAAACTTTGAATGTTTGCATACGGTGATTACAGCACAAAATGTTTCTGCCTCTATAAGGGTAGACTTGCATTAACACACATACTTTACCTGTCTGCAGCATAGCCTAGAGTGAATGCTCCTGTCAGAAACCCCAGATTGAGAACAGCTTGTGTTAGATCTAGCATCCAGGCATTGGCACACACAAGATTATACTGTGGGAACAAGCAAGAGATATAATAAGATTCCCCCACAGAGATGGAATATTTTTCCTCAAAGCAAAACATTTTAGCAATTGTCTTGCTCCAGGACAAAAAACACGCCTGAGCAAAAACCTGATTGCTAAGTGTTTGAGAAACTACTTTCAAGCTTTTTTGTTTTTTACCACCTCAGTGATTAGCATCCCATCTCAAACATCCGTTTTTAATAGAAATTTACTAAGAAGATTATAATGCGGGCTGCTCCAATAACTCTTGAATTCCATAGACTTCCTGTATCCCTATCAGTCTGGTTCCAGATCTAGCACAGAGACTGTGTTGATATTGCTGGTTGATTATCTCCTCACAGTGATAGACCAGGGTAAGATATCCATGATGACTTTATTGGACTCTTGACACTGTTGACACCTTTGCCTATCTTGCGGGGTCTCAGCGTGTGGAGCTATGTCAATCGAGTGTCCTCCATGGATTCTCTCTTCCCAGAGGATCTCTGAGCAAATACAGTTTCTTACTGACTGGTCTCAGATTAAACATCATCCATCTTGTGACTTGTCATCCTTCCTATTTATTGTGTACTTGTTCAATGGCAGGCCCAGATGGCACAGAGAAATGCCCGCATTAGTGAGTCCAGATCACTGCAGTTACAGTAAACATACAGAAAATGGGTCCTCCTTACCAAAAGGCTGCTGTGTTTCAGGTTTTGTAGGCCAAATGTCCTCAACAGGGGAGACATCTGAATTGGTTTGTTGTTATACAGATTGAGCACAATAGTTTAACGTCTGCTGGCAAGGAAATGCTGCATCTATGTTTAGCTCAGAGTAAATGCAGAGCTGTAACCAGGGAAAACACTAACATCTCCAAATGTTTTTAATTTTTTTCTTAGTGCCTCCTAGGCAAAAGTAGAGATACTTGACCTGTGAGGGTGCAGAAAACGAATTTCAAACCAATTTTTGACAGGTTGAAAATGTTTTTCTTGCTGTAACTTTCTCAGACCCTTCAATTCTTTATATTGCAGCAGCTGTTACAGGATGACAAAATGCTGCTCCTGCGTTCATCTGAAGAATTCATGGGGGAGGAGGCAGGGAGGGAAAGAGACCGGAAACAAAAATAAAACCAAATTAAAAATTCATTTGTTGTGCAGATAGTATTTTGTTGGCAATTACTTTACAGGGTCGTGGAGAACAATTATATGCCAACCTAGCTCAATAAGTCCTGCAGACCTCATTGTAGTCAGGATTTTTTGATCTCTGACTAGAATGTCCTTTTCAACAATGAGGAGTTAGGCGAAAGCAAAGTTAAGAATAAACTGAGGTAATATTCTCAGCAGTTTTAGCCATTTATTAAATAGCACTCTAGAAATAGCCATAATTTCCAAGGATGAGCTGTAATAAATAATATTAATAATAATATTTTACAGATAACTGAGATACAGAATATTTGCAATGCATTTAGTATTTCAAGTTCACACTCATAATAATGTATATCAGATGAAGGTGCTCAAATACTGCAGTGATGGGGGGGCATAGAAGTACTTAGATAGAATGAAGACATCTTCTATTTCATATTGGCCAAGATTTTTAAAAGTAATAGTCTAAAGATAAGCTTTTAAATCCATATTAGGCACCTAAATAAGTGGTCCAATTTTTTTAAGTGCTGAGCACCCTATTGGTCCCAGTGATTTCACTGCTGCCAGCTATTATTGCCTCAATGCAAACTGTTAGGTTATCAGTGCTTTTGAAAATCAGGCCACTTATTTAGGTGTCTAAAAATGGATCTAGGACCCTAACTCAGTTTTGCCAACTCTTGTGATTTTACTGCAAGTCTCACAATATTTGTATTTTCTTAAAGCCACAGCTCCTGGAATCCTGTGATTAAGTGAGAATCTCAACTTTCTTTTTTAAAAGTGAGTTTCTACCCCTTACTGTGGTGGAGAAAAGTTTGACTACATGAAACCTACGATTCAAAATCCAGAACAACAATAAAGACCTCTACGTTTATTATTTAAAAAATCTGATCATTTTGAAGCCAAGCTCTTGACTTTTGGGAGCTCAGCTCATCCTTTTTGAATGTCCAGTGGTGTTCACTTTTAACTCCTACTTTTATAAATCTAGGCCAGTATGTATAGAATCATTAGGTTCTTCCAGGAACAAAACTTGTTCTCATGTCTCAGAAACAATAACTGCTGTGGAATTTTCACAAACTCCAAAGCGTCGCACATTTACTCTTTGAAGAGTACTCCTACCTTCTTGTTTCTTAAACAAGTGCGACAGCAGGACAGAAAGGACAGAACTTCATGAAATATTTCCAGAACGTCCCACTTCACAGAGTTTTTTCAAGGGCATGGCCATTTCTAAAAGTGACTTTAGAAATACTTGTACATGCCTGTGACATTGTCACTAGTCAGAGATTTCAGGAGGAATGTTTAAAACCACCCACACAGGCAAACACAGCCTATTTGGTCTTTAAAACTAGCTTGTTGAGTAGAAAATACAGGGCTAGCTGATCTTCTGTAGAGAAAAACATGGAATGGAATAAAATAGTGAAAAAATAGGCAAAGAGGACTAGGTGGAAGAAAAGCAAGAATGGCACCAGTAAGCCTCCTCCCTCTCTCCACCTGAGCCTATGGAAGTCATTCTACCAGTCACTAGGAAATGGATCTCTACGTGATAGAGCATAACCAGCCAGAGGGGTGAGATGGAGACAGGGAGCAGTCACCCTCTGTGGTACACTCTTCTGGAAATATATTGGAAACAACTGCCAGAAGAATCTGGACCAATAGTCCCCAAAACTTAATGTTGTTCAATGAGAATTAAGGTTGCTCAGCACCATGTAAGTTCAAGGTCTTAAAGAGAGAGACCAAGCTAGCAAATGAACAAAGGAGCTCAATGTTGGACTGCAATAAAGAGCCCCTCACCAAGGAGACCAATGCAATGAAGGCCTATTTAGGATTTGACAACTTTGCTTGCTCTTAAAGCAGAAAGCCCTGACAGAAGACTTCTGTCCACAAGTCCTGCAATCAAAGAAGTAAAATAGGCAGAAAAAGTAAAGTTACTGTCTCATCAGAGCTCATAATGGATTATTATGGGCACAGAATGAAAAGGATTTAAGAATGAAATACTTTTAAAATAAACACATCATGAAAGGAAAATGTTTTTGATCTCAAATCCTTAACAGAATTTACAGGCACACTTAAGTTACAAATAAATACATTTTAAAATGAATTAGTTTAAAATCACTTCCTTTAATAAATACATTTTAAAACTCATTAATTTTAAATCACTTTCTTTAATTCCACCATCCAAATTCAGAGTTCAGGACCTCATTTTTCTAACACTGAAAGTGGCATCAGACTTATTGCCTGTGTCTCAATGTTAGATCAAGTCTCCCAGGCGAAACAAGGATAGCTAAACACTTCAAATCAAAGAAAATTCACCTTTCACATATATGCATTTGTAATGCCACTTTTGAAACCCAGGGTTGGATTCCAATCTCATTCACTTGGCTGTAAATAAGGAACAATGCCCCCTGAAGTCAATGGAATTACACTGGCACAAAACCTGCATAGTTGAGATGAGAACCAGGTCCGTAGCCTATAAATTTGAGCCCATAGATGTCTAAGTATCCTGTTTTGACTCATGCATTATTGGCATGGACCGAATTATGAGTGAAGATGTAGAGATCTCATTGAACATGTGAGCCTTACTTTTCAAGCCTATTCTGCTAGGGCAAAATTTGTCTCATTGCAGAGCCTCCACACACCTAAGCTCCAAAGACACCCTGTCAGTCCCATGCTTTAGTGGTGTGGAGGCCATTGTCTTGTGGTGCCTTTTGGTATTAAAGACATTGTGTGGGTTTTCCAAAAGCACATCATAAGTAACTTAGGATCATAAGTGGCAGTGAAAGTCAACAGTCCCTTAGGTGCTTTGGAAAAATCCCATCCATTGTTATTAATATTCTGATAATACTCAGAGAGGCCCCAGTCAGGAACAAAGCTAGATGCTAGATGCTTTGCAAACATGGGCCCCGGTACTGCAAGCTGTTCTGTGCTAGTGGACCCCTGCACGCCTGCATGGAGCTCCATGGATTTCCTTCATGGAACGGCTTGAAGGATTGGTCCGTAGAGATAGCTGGGCTCCTTGCCTTGGAAAGTTACTATGCTTGATCCTTTTAAAAGTATATATTTATTTTTGAAATAAATTAATCCACATTTAAGATAAACAGAGAGAAAGCGAACAACCTGACATGAAGGGCCGGGGGAAGAGAGTGCATCAAAGAGACAAGGGAAAATATGCTTCCTTTACAATGCCCTTGTACCTCAACGTACATTTCACATTGAGCAGCTGACAGTTGAAATAAATTGTTGCCTTAAAATATCAGTCAAATACTTTAAATCACTTGCATTTTCCATGAAACAAGAGACGATGGATAACAGTTAGGCACTGGGAGTACTTTCAAAAGGATTTATAGTGTAAAATGCTTAAGTAAATTAACTGATACCTTATAAATAAATCCTATGTTTTGCTCAGGTCTATATATTTAAATATTCTTGATGTAGCTAAGAATTCTTGGCTTCATTTTTTGTTGTTATTTTTTGTCTGTTCAGGGTCCACTTAAATGCTCTTTATATAAACAGTGTTGTTACAGCCGCGTTAGTCCCAGGATATAAGAAAAACTCGGTGCATGAGGAAATATCTTATATTGAACCAACCATAGGTGCTGGAAGTATGGAACCTGAGGGTGCCACACCCCTGGCTGGAAGTGGTTTCCATTACATACAGGGTTTGCAGTTTGGTCCAATGGCTCTCAGCAGCCCCACTATACAGATTGTTCCAGCACCACTGGGACCAATTTCGGCTAGTGAGAGAGACAAGCTTTTGAGCTTCCCCAGAGCTCTTCTTCATCCTTTTCATTAACAGAGTTAACCTTTAACACAGAAGTGTATATAGTGCAAAGGATTGTTTGAGTTCTACAGCTCGTCACTCCCAGACCACCCTTGG